TGGCGCATGCCTGTAATCCCAGCTACTCGGGAGGCTGAGGCAGGAGAATCGCTTGAACCCAGGAGGTGGAGGTTGCAGTGAGCCGAGATCGTGCCACTATACTCCAGCCTGGGCAGCAAGAGCGAAACTATGTCTCAAAAAAAAAAAAAAAGAAGAAGAAGAACAAGAAGAAGAAGAATAAGACAGAACAGAAAATACCAAGGCCTAGTGAGCAAGTAATACAGCAAATAGAACAAAAACGATGCTTCCCACAAGCTGTGTGGAGCAGCACCGTCCCTTAGAAGTAGAATGGAAGCCTGTACACAACTGAAAATTTTCTAATAGCTACACTTTTAAAAGTGAAAAAAATGAAATTAATTTTAACAAGATATTTTACTAAAGCCAGTACATCCAAAATACTGGCCAATACTGGCCGGGCACTGTGGCTCATGCCTGTAACCCCAGCACTTTGGGAGGCCGAGGTGGGTGGAGCACTTCAGGTCAGGAGTTTGAGACCAGCCTGGCTGTCATGGTGAAACCCCGTCTCTACTAAAAATACAAAAATTAGCCGGGTGTGGTGGCACATGCCTGAATCCCAGCTACCCAGTAGGCTGAGGCAGGAGGATCGCTTGAACCCAGGAGACAGAGGTTGCAGTGAGGCAAGATCTCGCCACTGCACTCCATCCTGGACGGCAGAGCGAGACTCCATCTCAAAAAACAAACAAAACAAAAAACTGAAACAGCCAATCATTTCGATCATTGTCCATGTTGCTGTCCTTGGTGGTGGCATGAATGCTCAGATGTGAGTTTTGTGACTGTCCTTGTTATTGTCACCGTTGTTCCTGTTGTGTGTCGCTCTGAGCCCAGTGCCTGGCCCGCAGCAGGCTCTAGGTGAGCCTTTGCTGTAACTCTCTCCTCCCCACCCCTCCCTGCTCATTGCAGGTACGAGATCCTGACGCCCAATGCCATCCCCAAGGGCTTCATGGATGGGAAGCAGGCCTGTGAAAAGATGGTGAGTGGGACAGAGCCTGGCGTGTGTGTGTGCGTGCATGTTTGTGGAGACATACGCGTGTGTGTGCAGGCGCGTGTGTCTGTGTCTGTGTGTGTGTGTCTGTGTGTGTGTGCATGTGTTTGTGTCTGTGTGTGTGTATGCATGTGTGTGCAGGGGGCCAGGTGGTGGGGGAGTGGGGCTGGGATCTCCCCTTCATTGCCCTTCCTCATTACCTCTCCCTATCAACGCCCCCACCCCTGCTTCCTCATCATCCCCCATCAACCCCCTACCTGTCACCCCATCACCCCCTCTCCCATCACCTCCCTCCCCCATCGCCCCTTCCCAGTCACCACCTCTTCCCTATCACTCCCCCTCCTGACCACCCCCTCCGCCATTACTCCCCCTCCTCACCACCCCCACTCCCCCATCACCCCCGTCTCCATCATCACCCCTCTCCCACCCCTCACAGATCCAGGCACTGGAACTGGACCCCAACCTCTACCGTGTGGGACAGAGCAAGATCTTCTTCCGGGCCGGGGTCCTGGCCCAGCTGGAAGAGGAGCGAGACCTGAAGGTCACTGACATCATCGTCTCCTTCCAGGCAGCTGCCCGGGGATACCTGGCTCGCAGGTGGGCGGCCACGCTGTCTCCCGGGGTCCTGTTGGCCGAGGCTGGGTCAGGGAGGGGTTGACCAGATGGCTCCAGTGTCAGGGCCTCCAGGACGGGTGCAGGCTGAGGAGCAGGTGGATGGAGCTGCCGGGTGCCCAGCCTTCTTGGTTCTGCAGTCCCTGAGGGGCCCTGTGGGCAGGCCCTGTACAGAGTAAGACAGGCAACACAGACGCTAGACTTAGCCATAGCGTGACCAGCTGTCCTAGTGGGCCTGGGACGGGGTTTCCCAGGGTGCAGGACTTCCAGTGCTAAAACAGAGAAAGCCCGGGGCAACCCGGGTCAAGCTGTCCGCTCTGCCTGCCCGTTCCCTCGAGGGGCTCCAGTCTGGAGGCGAGACTTGCATGGGCACAGAGTCCCAGTCCCGGGTGAGACCTGCTTTGCTGGGGGCCATAGAGGTGCAGCAAGGAGGCCCTGCTGCAGGCCGTGACTGCCCCAGGCCACTCCGGACCACCAGGTGGATGAAGGAAAGTGGGAAAGGCGCTCAGGGCAGGAGGAAGCTTGTGCAAAGGTCCAACAGTGCAAGATCCTGGCGTGCTTCAGGAATACAGGGCGTTTGCGGGAGACTCTCCTTCCTCCTTAGAAGTGGCTCAGAGAGGCCGGGTGCGGCGGCTCACACCTGTAATCCCAGCACTTTGGGAGGCCAAGGCGGGTGGATCCCTTGAGGTCAGGAATTTGAGACAAGCCTGGCCAACATGGTGAAACCCCGTCTCTACTAAAAATACAACAATTAGCCGTAATCCCAGATACTCGGGAAGCTGAGGCAGGAGAACTCAGGAGGCAGAGATTGCAGTGAGCCAAGATCATGCCACGGCACTCCAGCCTGGGTGACAGAGTGAGACTGTATTGGGGGAAAAAAAAAAAAAAAAAGGCCTCAAAGAACAGAGTGGCAGGAAAGGATGGCCCAAACACCAGGCTGAGTGGGGCCTCGTCCAGAGGAGCTAGGGAGCCATGGAGGGCTGTGAGCAGGGGCGGGGTGGGTCAGCCCTGGGTGTAGAAGGACCCTCTGGAGGCGTGCCAGGATGGGCAGACAGGAGAGGCTGGAGAAGGCGGCTAGGCAGAGGGGCTGGGGCCGTGGGACAGGACAGAGAGAGTCAGGGGCAGGGGAGCTAACAGCCAGAACACAGATCTAAAAGTAACACGAATGCCTGGACACAATAGGCATTTTATGATGGCTAAGTGAAAGGAGCTTGGCTTGGTCAGGCGCGGTGGCTCACGCCTGTAATCTCAGCACTTTGGGAGGCCGAGGCAAGTAGATCACTTGAGGTCGGGAGTTCGAGAGCAGCCTAGCCAACATGGTGAAACCCCATCTCTGCTAAAAATACAAAAATTAGCCCAGTGTTGTGGCGCGCACCTGTAATCCCAGCTACTTGGGAGGCTGAGGCAGGAGAATCGCTTGAACCTGGGAGGTGGAGGTTGCAGTGAGCTGAGATCGTGCCCTTGCACTCCAGCCTAGGCAACAGAGCAAGATTCCGTCTCAAAAAAAGAAAAAAAAAAAGAAAGAAAAAAATAAAAGAAAAAAGAAAGGAGCTTGGCTCTCTTGCTAAGGGGATGGCACCTGGAGGAGCTGAGCCCCTACTCTGCCCCTCACCTGTTTCCCCACCCAGGGCCTTCCAGAAGCGCCAGCAGCAGCAGAGTGCCCTGAGGGTGATGCAGCGGAACTGCGCAGCCTACCTCAAGCTGAGACACTGGCAGTGGTGGCGGCTGTTTACCAAGGTGAGGGCAGGCTGGGGAGGTGGCCTGAGCAGGGAGAGGATAGGGCCTTGGGGCTTGCTCTGCTTGACAAGTGACTTCCTCCATGTGTGCCTCAGTTTTCTCCATCAGTAAAATGGGGCCAGTAGGCCCAGCCTTTGCTAGCTGGGAATCTTTAGTTAGGAAGCCACAAGAAAAATCTGACTCAAAACAACATGGATCAAAGATTCAAGACAGCCGGCCGGGCGTGGTGGCTCAAGCCTGTAATCCCAGCACTTTAGGAGGCCGAGTCGGGCGGATCACGAGGTCAGGAGATCGAGACCATCCTGGCTAACACGGTGAAACCCCGTCTCTACTAAAAAATACAAAAAACTAGCCGGGCGAGGTGGCGGGCGCCTGTAGTCCCAGCTACTCGGGAGGCTGAGGCAGGAGAATGGCGTAAACCCGGGAGGTGGAGCTTGCAGTGAGCTGAGATCCGGCCACTGCACTCCAGCCCAGGCGACAGAGCAGACTCCACCTCAAAAAAAAAAAAAAAAAAAAAACTGGCCAGGCATGGAGGCATATGCCTGTAATCCCAGCAGTTTGGGAGGCCAAGGTGGGTGGATCACTTGAGGTCAGGGGTTCAAACCCAGCCTGGCCAATATGCTGAAACCCCGTCACTACTAAAAATACAACAGTTAGCTGGATGTGGTGGTGGGCACCTATAATCCCAGCTACTCGGGAGGCTGAGGCAGGGGAATCACTTGAACCCGGAAGGTGAAGGTTGCAGTGAGCCAAGATTGCACCACTGCACTCCAGCCTGGGTGACAGAGCAAGGCTCTGTCTCAAAATAATAATAATAATAATTAATAAATAAATAATAAATAAATAAACAGAGCCAGGGTGGCCTGTAAAGTCTCAAATATTTCCTGGCTGGCCCTTGAAGAAAAAGTTTGCCTACCTTAGGTGTTGGGGGTTGGGGTCAAGTAGGATTTGATTGGCATCAGTTCAGAAATATGAATGATGCCTGTGAAAGATGCTAGGAGTTGGGGCAGAAAAGAAGAGAATAGAATGGATACAGAATTGGGTGGAGAGGAAAAGAATCAAGTAGACTTGTGTAGAACGGAGTAGAATATGATAGAACAGAATTTATCAGAGCGGATCTCACTTAGCAAGGGGAACGAGCTTTTGTGAAATTTTTGTTTCAGTACTGTGTGTATCTCTGTCACTGCAGCCTGAATCATGCCATGTAAAGCTCATCTCTCACTAAGGATCTTGGACTAACAGGCTTAAGAAACACTGGCCCTTGGCCAGGCATGGTGGCTCATGCCTATATCCCAACACTTTGGGAGGCTGAGGCGGGTGGATTACCTAAGGTCGGGAGTTTGAGACCAGCCTGGCCAACATGTCGAAACCCTCTCTACTGAAAACACAAAAATTAGCCAGACGTGGTGGCGCACGCCTGTAATCCCAGCTACTCGGGAGGCTGAAGCAGGAGAATCGCTTGAACCTGGGAGGCAGAGGTTGCAGTGAGCTGAGATCACACCACTGCACTCCAGCCTGGCGAGAGAGTGAGACTCCATCAAAAACAAAAAACAAACAAAAAAAAAATTAGGAAGGAAGGAAAGAAGGAAGGGAGGAAAGAAAGACTGTTCCACAGAATAGCAGCGGCCACAGTCCACAGTGCCTCTTGGATGTGGAGGGATCCTTTAGCCAGCCAGATACATTAGATAGATCAATAGTGTATTTAGTGGTGCTTGCCTGTACCTGTCAGTATTCTAGGCCTGTGACCAAGGACTGTTGCCAAGGCGGGGACACACAGCTAATAGGTGGAGGAGATGGGATTTGTACCCAGAAACTCAGACCCGACCAAGAGTGTGAGGCCTTGGCTCCTGGGTCAGGTGGCCTCGCACCTTGGAAGTCAGCCATTGCATCCCCTTTCACCTCCACCTAGGTGAAGCCACTGCTGCAGGTGACACGGCAGGATGAGGTGCTGCAGGCACGGGCCCAGGAGCTGCAGAAAGTGCAGGAGCTGCAGCAGCAGAGCGCCCGCGAAGTCGGGGAGCTCCAGGGCCGAGTGGCACAGGTGAGGGGGCGGGGGCAGGGTGTGGGGGCGTGTCTTGGGGGCGGGGCTGTGTCGCATGGGTGGAGCCAGGAGTGAGGGGCGGGGCTTCCGGCTAAGCCAGCCTGTGCCCTGGCACGGCTGTCGGGAGGATGGGAGCGAAGCTAAGGTGTACCGAGGCCTGGCGGGGATTGGGGCTGTTTAGTTTGGTTGAATCGTGACGTGCAGGGAGCAGGGCCCTGGGGGTGTAGCCAGGGTGTGGGTCGGGTAGGGGTGGGGTGGGAGAGTCCTACAGAGCCAGAATGGAGCTGGGCTGTAAGATCTGGGGGCAGGAGCCTCAGCTGTGGCCGGGCTATGGTATGCAGGCGGTGGACTTAAAACTGTTTCCAGTATTTGGCTATCTTAAAATAATGCTAGAACATTTGGGAGGCTGACGCGGGCAGATCATCTGAGATCAGGAGTTCAAGACCACTCTGGTCAACATGGTGAAACCCCGTCTCTACTAAAAATGCAAAACTTAGCCGGGTGTCGTGGCGCACGCCTGTAATCCCAGCTCCTTAGGAGGTGGCTGTTGCGGTAAGCCGAGATGGCGTCGCTGCACTCCAGCCTGGGTGACAGAGTGAGACTCCGTCTCAAAAATAATAATAATAATAATACTAGAACAAACCCCTTCTTGAGCATTTTTCTGTTTGCCTTTTCTGCCTTATTTTCTGTGGTTACATTTCTAAGTATGGAAGTATTAAATGAAATGTGAGATGGTAGAAAGACCCTTCAGGGGTTATTTGAAGGATGGACTGGAAGGGGAAAGGCTGGAGGCTGGGAGGCTCAGGGGGGAGGCTGGGGAGGAGTCTGGAGAGAGACAGGTGAGAGGAGGCACACCTGAGCCTGTTGAGGCTGTAGGGACAGAGAGGAGGGGCCAGAGAGAGCAGGGATGCAGGCTGATGACTGTGAGAGGTGAGGGAGAAGGACATCCCCAGGATTCTGACTTAGTGATTAGAGGGATGTGGGCTCATCCTGAGACAGGGACCTGAGGGGGAGGAGGTGGGGACACTGTGTCCTCTCACCCCTCAGTCCTGCCCTGAAGGCCTTAAACGCCAAAGCAAGTTACAAGGCAGCAGCAGGCACCTGGTGCAGGTTGCCCTGGGAGCCCTGCCTGCTGACCACTAACTTCCCACACACTCCCCAGCTGGAAGAGGAGCGCACCCGCCTGGCAGAGCAATTGCGAGCAGAGGCAGAACTGTGTGCAGAGGCCGAGGAGACGCGGGGGAGGCTGGCAGCCCGCAAGCAGGAGCTGGAGCTGGTGGTGTCAGAGTTGGAGGCTCGCGTGGGCGAGGAGGAGGAGTGCAGTCGTCAGCTGCAAACCGAGAAGAAGAGGCTGCAGCAGCACATACAGGTCTGGCCCCCTGCATGCCCACCAGGCCACCCTCCAGACCCCTCTGTCTACACCTTTGCTTCTGCAAACCATGTGTCTTTGGCCCACGAATTTGTAGAAAACTCAGTTCTAAGTGAATTTGCAAAAAGTATACATTTTTGATTCAGATCACGGGAGACCCTAGAATGTGTGAGCTTCGTGTATGGGTGGATCCAGACGTCCAAGTGATATATTCAGCTTCAGGCATGGCTGGATCCAGGCGCCCAAGTGCTGTCCTCAGCTTCAGGCATGGCTGGATCCAGGCATTCAGGCAATGTCCTCAGTACTCCCCCTCTCTCCATCTCCTGGCTTCATTCACCGGCAGGCTGCCCTGATGGTTCCTCTTCAAAATCTAGTGTGTGTTTTACAATACAGCACATCTCAATTCAGATGCTAAATTCTCATTGGAAATATTTGATCTGTGTTTCAATTTCATAATTTCTGCAGTTTATAAAAACTAGATTCACATGGCCAAGTTGTTCCAAACATGCTTAAAAAGCTTTTCAGTGATTGGGTGTCTTGTTTTAAATTTAAAATAAGTAAAATTAAATAAGACAGAAAATTCAGTTCATTAGTCCACATCAGCCACCTTTCAAAGGCTCAGTAGTGTTTTTTGGTTTTTTGTTTTTTCGAGACAGAGTCTCACTCTGTTACCCAGGCTGGAGTACAATGGTGCCATCTCAGCTCACTGCAGCCTCTGTCTCCCAGGCTCAAGTAATTCTCCTGCGTCAACCTCTACAGCAGTATCTGGGATTACAGGCGTGTGCCACCACACCCAGCTAATTTTTTTGTTTTTAGTAGAGACAGTATTTCAGTATGTTGGGTAGGCTGGTCTCGAACTCCTGACCTCAGGTGATCCACCTGCCTCAGCCTTCCAAATTGCTGGGATAACAGGCGTGAGCCAGCGCACCCAACCTATTTACTATGTTTGTTGTTTATAATCCGTACCCCTAACCCCCACATAAGAAAGTGATTTCCAGAAGGATAGGTGTCCATTTTTTTTCAGAGGCAAGATCTCGCTCTGTTACCCAGACTTCAGTGCAGCGGTGCGGTCATCTCTCACTGCAGAAGGCCAGGCACTTTTCCCCATCCTCAGTGTCTAGAACTGTGCCTGGCATACACTAGGCACTCAATAAATGCTTGTTGAGCTAATGAATGAAATGGGAAAGCCAATAAAGGTTTTATCCTTCCCAGCCTCACCCAGGGTATGCACCTCTCCGAACCACCCCGGGGATCCGCAGACTATCCCCGTCCCCATCCTTCCCATCACGCTCCATCTGTTGGCCCATGTATCCTCACTCCTCCTGCCTCCCCTCCCCAGGAGCTAGAGGCCCACCTTGAGGCTGAGGAGGGGGCACGGCAGAAGCTGCAGCTGGAGAAGGTGACGACAGAGGCAAAAATGAAGAAATTTGAAGAGGACCTGCTGCTCCTGGAAGACCAGAACTCCAAGCTGAGCAAGGTTGGGGGCCTGAGGGCAGCAGGGAAAATGGGGAGCGGGTGCGTTGGTGCGTTAATGAATGGTGAACTTCAAACCGTGGGGGTTACCACACTGCACTTCTCAGGTGTGCACTGGTGGGGGTGGGATGGGTCTATAGACCCCAGGGAATGGGAAGAAGAGGGAGGTGTAGGGGGAGGAAGGTCAGAGAAGGGTGAAGAGGAGCAGAAACATAGATGAGAACACCACCAGAAGCTGCAGATCAGGTAGGGGCTGCTCCTGGCCCGGCTCCTGACTGCCCCCCACCCCACCCCACCCCTCAGGAGCGGAAGCTGCTAGAAGATCGCCTGTCCGAGTTCTCATCCCAGGCAGCTGAGGAGGAGGAGAAGGTCAAGAGCCTCAATAAGCTACGGCTCAAATATGAGGCCACAATCGCAGACATGGAGGGTGAGCTCCCGCCCAGCCAGTGGGCAGCTGTAGGGGTCTGTGTGTGCTCTGATGGGGGCTTCAGGCAAGCCCCACGTGCTACAGGGCCTCCGTGGCTGTGTCTGCTAAATGGGATAGGAAGGAAAGCTCAGGGCGGATTGAGTGTCCTCCCAGCTCTTGAGTTCTTCATGCATCTCTAAATCCAACTCCCTTTCTCTCCGTGGTGTCTTGGGTTATCCTACTTTCTTCCCATCTGACTGCTCCACTGTCTGTCTGTTTCAGACACGCTTTTGTCTCCCTGTCCCTTCCTGTTGACTTAGAATCAGAAACAGAAGGGAAGGGGCACGGGGAGGAGGCAGGGCTGTGGACACAGGGCAGAGAGAGTCAGAGGCAGGAGGCACGGGCTGTCAGTGGGGATGAGGAGGAGAGGACAGTGTGTAGGTGTCTGGCCGAGGGTCTAGGACAACATTGTGGGGAGAGTCCCTGAGATAGATGGGGAAGGTGGGAGGAGGAGAAGGTGTTAAGGGAGGTGCTGAACTTAGCCTTACATGTGGCTGGGGGCCTGTGGTCTCTGTGGGAGCGGCTGAGTGTGCAGGCCTGGAGTCCTCATGCATGGCCCCCAACCCTGCCTCCAGACCGCCTACGGAAGGAGGAGAAGGGTCGCCAGGAGCTGGAGAAGCTGAAGCGGAGGCTGGACGGGGAGAGCTCGGAGCTGCAGGAGCAGATGGTGGAGCAGCAACAGCGGGCAGAGGAGCTGCGGGCCCAGCTGGGCCGCAAGGAGGAGGAGCTGCAGGCTGCCCTGGCCAGGTGCAGGGTGGGGCGGGCTTGGTGGGGCAAGCATGGGGTGCCCAAGTCAGAAGTTCCTGGGTTCAAACCCCGGCGGCGCCACTCACCAGCCACAGACAAGCCACATCCCCTCCGCACCTCAGTGTCCCCTTCTGTCAAATGAAGATAGCAGGAGTTCCAGGCCCACTAGCTTAAGCGAAAAGTAAAACGAGACTCTATGTGTCTGGTAACTTGCATGACAGTGCACAAACGGAACCAGAAAATGCTACTTCTAGGCCAGGTACGGTGGTTCATACCTGTCATCCTAGCACTTTGGGAGGCCAAGGCTGGTGGATCACTTGAGGTCGGGAGTTTAAGACCAGCCTGGCTAACATGGCGAAACCCCGTCTCTACTAAAAATACAAAAATTAGCTGGGTGTGGTGGCAGGCGCCTGTAATCCCATCTACTCAGGAAGCTTAAGCACGAGAATCGCTTGAACCTGGGAGGCAGAGGTTGCAGTGAGCCGAGATCACACCACTGCACTCCAGCCTGGCGACAGAGCAAGACGACGTCTCAAAAAAAACAAAGCTATTTCTTCCTCTTCCCCTTCTTGGCCTCCCCACACCAAACAGCCCCGAATCAGCTGAGATTTGACAAGTGGCCTATGTTAGGAATCATAATAATTATATTTACACTCGTTCACAATAATTGAGCTCCCTACTGTATGCCAGATGTGGTGCTTAGTATTTCAGATGCTTTTTATGCACTGTTCTTCATGCAATCTAAGACCCCCTTGATTACAGGTACAGCTCCATTTCAGAGATGTTAAAATGTGAAAAGCTGTGCATCTTAGAGTTGGTGGAACATGGTGTGTGTGTGTGTGTGTGTGTGTGTGTGTGGTTAAGAACATATATATATATATATATAAAATTTTTTTTTAAGATGGAGTCTTGTTCTGCTGCCCAGACTGGAGTGCAGTGGTGTGATCTTGGTCACTGCCACCTCCGCCACCCAGATTCAAGTGATTCTCATGCCTCAGCCTCCCAAGTAACTGGGATTACAGGCCCCCGCCAACATGCCCAGCAAGTTTTGTATTTTTAGTGGAGATGGGGTTTCACCACGTTGCCCAGGCTGGTCTCAAACTCCCGACCCCAGGTGATCCACTTGTCTCGGCCTCCCAAAGTGCTGGGATTATAGGCATGAGGCACTGCACCTGGCCGTGAACACACATCTTTGAGTCTGACTTCTGGGTTGGAATCCTGGCTTCTCCCCTTTCTAGTCATGTGACCTCACCCAAGTCACGTCACCTCTCTAGCCTCAGTTTTTTCATCTATAAAATGGGGTAATTATAGACGCTACTCCTAGCGTTAGTGTGAGGGTTAAAGAAGAAAGTGCTCTTCAGACGCTTGGCATACCCTGAGCCCTCAATAAATGCTGGATGTTTCTGTTACTACTTTTATTACTCTTGCTAATTTTTTTTGTTTGTTTTTTACTGAGGTGAAATTCACATAAAAGTAACCATTTTTTAAATGTACAATTCAGTAGATTTTGCCCATTCACAATGCTGTGTAACCATCACCTCTATCTAGTTCTAGAACAGTTTCCCTTTTATTGAGATGGAGTCTTGCCCTGTCGCCCAGCCTGGAGTGCAGTGGCGTGATCTTGGCTCACTACATCCTCTGCCTCCTGGGTTCAAGCAGTTCTCCTGCTTCAGCCTCCCAAGTAGCTGGGACTATAGGTGCCCACCACCACACCCAGCTAATTTTTGTATTTTTAGCAAGGACTGGGTTTCACTATGTTGGCCAGGCTGGTCTCGAACTCCTGACCTCAGGTGATCCACCTGTCTCAGCCTCCCAAAGTGCTGGGATTACAGGCATGAGCCACTGTGCCAGCCTCCAGAATATTTTTATCACCCCAAAAGGAAACCCTGTATGTATTAAGCAATCACGGCCAGGCACAGTGACTCACGCCATAATCCAGCACTCTGAGAGGAGGAGGCAGGAGGGTCGCCTGAGCCCAGGAATTCAAGACCAACCTGGGCAATATAGTGAGACCCTGTCTCTACCAAAAACTTAAAAAAATTAGCCAAGCATGGTGGCGTGTGCTTGTAGTCCCAGCCACTTAGAGGGCGGAGGTGGGAGGATCATTTGAACCTGGGAAGTCGAGGCTGCAGGGAGCCACTGCACTCTGGTCTAGGTGACAGAACGAGATCCTCTCTCACAAAAAAAAAAAAAGCAGTCACTCCCCATCCCTCCTTCTCCCCAGACTGGCAGCCTCTGATCCACTTTCTGTCTAAATAGAATTTGCCTATTCTAGATATTTCATACAACATGTGGCCTTTTTGTGCTTTATTTTTATCGTCATCCCCCCAGCAACCCTGGTAAAGGGGAGTGTTCATTGTCATGTTCTCCCACAAACCAGGACCCTGCCCTTCTTAAGTCACTTGCCGGAGCAGGGGGCCAGGAGAGGATACTGAGCCAGGCCTGTGTGGCTCCCTGAGCCATTAACCTCCAGGTCCCAGTTGATGCAGCCCCCGGATCCAGCTTCTCTTTGCAATGACACTGCATGAAGGGACAGGAAGCCACAGCCCTGTAAGAGTTACAAGGAGGGACTCCGGGGCAACCCAGCCAGTCACGAACTGGGTAACCTCGGCAAGTGCTTTCTCTGTGCTGGGCCTCAGTTTCTTCATTTGGCAGGAACGTTAAATGAGGTGATACAAGTAAAGCACTGGCATGAGGCAAGAACTTACTAAGTAAGTGTCTCCTACGATTACTGTTGCTGTCATTCCCACTTTACAGCTAAGAAAACTGAGGTTCGAAATGAGTCAGGCTGGGCGAAGTGGCTCACTCCTGCAATCTCAGCACTTTGTAAGGCTGAGGTGGGAGGATGGAACCACCTCCTGGCTTGAGGCCAGGAGTTCGAGACCAGCCCTGGGCGAGATAGTGAGACCCTGTGTCTTTGGGGAAAAAGAAAAATTAGCCAGGCGTGATGGACCACAACTGTGGTCTCAGCTACATGGGATGCTGTGGTAGGAGGATCACTTGAGCCCAGGAATTTGAGGCTGCAGTAAGCCATGACTGCACCACTGCCCTCCAGCCTGGGTAACAGAGGAAGACCCTGTCTCAAAAAAATTAAATTAGTACTGGAGTCAAGTACCCAGTGGCAGAGATAGGATTCGAACCTGGGACTGGCCACCCCCACAGCCCACATCCTGCCTCTCTGTCCCCAGAAATCATTGCCTCGCCCTTGCCTGCCCCTGTACCAACTCCATGGTTCTTGTCACCCCCAGGGCAGAAGACGAGGGTGGGGCCCGGGCCCAGCTGCTGAAATCCCTGCGGGAGGCTCAAGCAGCTCTGGCCGAGGCCCAGGAGGACCTGGAGGCCGAACGCGTGGCCAGGACCAAGGCGGAGAAGCAGCGCCGGGACCTGGGCGAGGAGCTGGAGGCACTGCGGAGCGAGCTGGAGGACACCCTGGACTCCACCAACGCACAGCAGGAGCTCCGGTGAGGCCGGGTGGCAGCCGCTGTCACAGCCTGGGCACGTGCAGGGCTGGGGGAAGGACTTAGGTGCAAAGTCTCTGTGCTTACAGAGGCTTACAGTTCGGCTGTTCTTGAACCACCAGCTCTAGGCCCAGCCTGGTCAAGCTGGGGACAGAGATGGGTCAGACCCAGGTGTTACCCTTGGGAATTTCCAGTTTCAGGGGAGGCAGATTCAGGCAAAGACAATCTCAGCCCAGAACAAGGGGTGCTTTAGTGGAGCGACACAGGGCATTGCGGGTGCTAACTGAAGACCCCTAAACCAAGTCTATGGGAAATCCAGGAAGACTTTCCTGAGGAAGGGCCTTTTGGATAAGGGTTTTGAAAGGTGAATAGGAGTTCACCCTTAAAGTCACACTGCTTCCACCGTGTCACCACCCAGATCTCCTGGGGAGCATTACATGAGGCTCTCATGTTTTTAGGAAACATGGAAAGGAGAAACAACCAGCTCCCCCAAAGCCCCTGCCTTCCTCTGCTCTGAAATTCTCTTCCCCTCTCCCTTCCCCCAATAAAGGTCCAAGAGGGAACAGGAGGTGACGGAGCTGAAGAAGACTCTGGAGGAGGAGACTCGCATCCACGAGGCGGCAGTGCAGGAGCTGAGGCAGCGCCACGGCCAGGCCCTGGGGGAGCTGGCGGAGCAGCTGGAGCAGGCCCGGAGGGTGGGTTGGGGCAGGGGGACAGGGTGGAGGGGCCACGGGGAGGGCAGGGCAGGACGCGGTTTGGAGGAGTTACCACTGGCTGGTTCTAGGCCATCTCATCTCTCTGGGCTCCTTTCCTCACGCATTCATGTGCAGCTTTCATTCAGCAAGCATGAATACGGTGTGGACTACATTCCAGGAGCATTGCTGGGAAACCAGCCATGAACCCAACAATCAGCACTGCCTTCCCTTGTGGAGCTTTCCTTTTAGTGAGAGAGGCAGAGAGTAAACGATATAAATACCTTCAGTTTATATTGGGGCGATAAGTGCTATGGGGCCATAATGAACAGAAAAAGGGGATCAGAATTCTAAGGCGGGTGAGTTTTTAAGTAGAGAGGCTGCGGAGGTATTCTGTGAGAAGGTGACATCAGGGTAAAAACTGAGGGAGTGGCCAGGCACGGTGGCTCATGCCTGTAACTTTGGGAGGCTGAGGCAGGCAGATCACTTGAGGCTAGGAGTTCAAGACCAGCCTGGGCAACA